TCAATGCCTACAAGCAGACAATCTACAGGCTCGGCTGCATCCAGCCAGCCACCGCTTGCCGATCAAACGCTAGCTTTGACCGCCACCGTAAATGGCGCATGCGCTGCACACCTATCATCGTGTCATACAGTATACATAGACATCCTCTCTGATGACATGCCCCTGTTACTATGACTCGCCCAGATGATTGTTCCTGTGCTTGTATGATGGTTTTTTTTCTATATATATATATTTTTTTTTTTTTTGCGAATAATCGGATCTGAGACGCTCGAATTTAAATTAGTTAAACACATGAAATTAGATCAGACGCTGCCATTTCTCTGGCAATAAATTGCGTGGTCAATCATCCTCTGGTACTCGCTACACACGGCCAAGTCATGCGACAATCGACTTGTCCTGCATAAGTAGACAAGAAGTGAATTTCGATTGCGCCAGGCTTCTTGGAGATTCTCTGATTGTTTGAAGCATTGACATGATCAATCTTCCAGCTCTTTTTCAACTAGATCTATGAATAAACGTGATAAAGCCTTCCGTTGATTACGCTTTGACTCATTCAACGGCACCCATTCGAGACGTTCTTCGCCGGTTCGTAAATATTGTTGTCGGAACTCTAACCAGAGTGAATTATTTGTTGCCGGCCGTGGATAGAATGGCTCGCTTTGCTGAAAGGCTCTGACTGCTTGTTGGACCCCTGCCTCATCCATGGACATCTCTCTACAAAGGTCAAAGTCAAGCACCCACATGCAATGGTCACCAAGTGAATTTAAAATAGTGTCAGCCTTGATTGTCTCACCCCACGGTGGCGCGAGGATATATTCAACCCCGTTTCCGTCAATCCCGCCAATCCAATGCATGGTTGCAAGAGCCTCGGCCATTGTGCGCGCGTATTGTTTCATATGTGCATCAGAGACACCGAGCTTTTACATTTGATTCACATGCAGAGGTATATCCATTTGCGAGTAAATGTGTTGCTCGGGCTCCAAGCGGGTCTTGTGTGGCTGGCAGCAACCGAGGTATGGTCTGATGAAACACTCCTTATCCTTGACATCCAGCAAAACCGAATCCGGCAGTATTCCCTGGAGGCAATGGCTGTGTATAAGTAGGCGCATCGTATCCCTTGGAAAAGGAAGCACGCGCTCGGTCAGTATGCAATTGCGAGGCGTCCGCGGTGTAGGAAGGCATTCATTCATCCTGTCCCACCACTCTTCGTTTGCGGCCGTTATGAAGTTATAACAATCTGGCACTTGAATTCGGGTGTGCACGGAGTTCCACCGGCATGAAAAGTTTGAATTTATTTCTTAGGGCTCGACACACTCATTGCACATCAGCCAAAGCGGAGACGATGGTCACCTTTGTCGACACATGAGTTGCGCAATTGATCCAAGTTCCAGCCATTGTGGATGGCGGTTTGTGACCTGTTGGTTTAGATACCTAGCTGGCTCGGAGCCATTGAAAATGCCCCTATTAGAGTCTTCTCCTAGCCACTTTGGCCTTGCGCCTAATTTCTTCGGAACTTGCCCCTTCCCAAACCCACAGAACACCAATGGTCCCTGGCTAGAACGGCTCGGAGGGCAACACCTTGGCCAGGATACACAAGCTGCAGAGGCCTGCCAGGTCTCCCGACAATCTCCCATTTCCATCCACGACACCCAGGATCCCTCTGATTTTGGGCTCGCAGGTTTACAGCCCAGCACCCCACGGTGGCAGTTCAATTGTGGGGTTTCGGGATGCAAGAGTCATTTCACCTGGCAAACCATTTAGGGGGGAGATCTCATGTCTGCTGGATCCCTGGTTGCCAACGCAGTTTCTCGCGGCGCGACAACCTCAATGCCCACTATAAAACGCACAGCAAACGCGGGGGCCGTAATCGATATGTCGCTACCCTGGACAAGACAGGCACCGACTATAACCCTGAGTTATATGGGTAGCTAATGCCTGAAGGGTGGCCACTTGACTATGCTGGCCAAGGCTGATTCTGGCGCACGAGATGTATCATGGCACCGGGTTTCCACTGTTCTTCGACTTTCTGCCACCAAGTACGAGAAGCAATGGTATAGGCTTTAATACAGTTGAATATTGTCTCTTTCCTCTTGGCCTACTCTCTTTCGTGCTGTGAACCTATGTTTCCCTCAACCCCTGTTACCTTTTATAGGATTTTCTAGAAACTGGTTCGACATATATAACATCCAGATTAGCAAAGTCAACACGAGAAGCGCTTACCCCAATGGACTGTTCACATCGTTTCATAATCGCAACGCCATATAACAATTACAAGAGGACCGAGGCCAGCGTGGCCCAGACTCTCACAACCAATCCGTGCAGGTTCAAGACACAACTCAACCACTGAGCTACGACGAGGTAAGGATTATAATGTGGTGCAGGTCACCCGCTGTTAGTGATGTTCGTGTGTTACCTACCAGCCACAGATGGTTTTCAGTGAATGGCAGATCTAGAGAACATTTGAAATGCGGCTCAAAGACAGGGTCCAGTGGATCGCATACTCGTATTATCTTGGTATAATAATTCATGCAGGCTGGGCTTTCTCTTCGCCTCATACTCCCGCGGTTAGGGACACATTCCGTGTTGCCTCCGCGTCAGCTTGCAGTGTAGCCTCGGTCGGAATCACGCGTAGTTCTTTCGCTCTAATTGGTCGTTCCCAGTGGGGTCTTTAGCGATCGGAGCGACCCGCAGTTGAGAGTTATGTTCCACTCGGAGAGCTATGGACGGTCCACACAGTATGTACAGTACAGTAGTATACTGTAACTTCAGTCGAACTCTCGCTGTCTGTTTCTTCGAACCTACTCGTGTGTGAAATGTTCGGACCTTAAATGTCAGCCACTAGTCCCCATCGAGACTGAGCACGTAGCTATTGCGGCCTAGCGTAGAAGCTATTTGTAGTCATCGCCAGGGCATCTTGTAAAAGTTATATCTGACCGTGCGGCTTCAGCCGACCGAGTAAGTTAAGTTATTTTGCACAAGGTTGCGGCTATTAGTTATATTGTCCACCTTCCATTGGTCAACGCTCCATTGCATTCAAGTATCAGCTACTGAAGCTGGATACCTTGCATATTCGGAAGCAGGAAGCGAGGCTATCTGGTTACAACGTCTCCGTTGAGATCTAGGCATCCAGAAGGATAAAGAACCGGTAGTCCTCTACACGAACAGCCTACAGCTATCGCCATGACAGAGAACCGCAAGGCGCATACAAAATCACGCCATATTGAAGTACACTGGCATTGGATACGCGAACAAATCCAAGAAGGGAAGCTCTCTCTCCAACATACACCCGACAACACGTTAGTGGCAGACGGCCTTCCCAAGGCCTTAACGAAGAGCAAACATGTCGAATTCATCGATCGGCTATGGTTCTATAGGCTATGAATAGCCTCATTCACCCTACCAGAAGGATTCAACGCCTATGGTGGAGGCTCTGGCAGCTACAACAGCGCCGAGACCGCTCGACCAAGGCATCGGGCCTTGAAACAGCACCTGTTTGATTGCATATTGTTTTGGTAGTTCTTTACCTGCTATCTTGCATATCCCCAGCGCCATCTTGCAGATGAGGGGGTGTGTTGAGTTTTCAGCAGTCTTCAATGCCGCTGAGGCCTTGATGGCTACTATGCCATCCTCCCTGAGACGCACTAGCCTTATACGGTAATGCGGACCTTCGGGAAGTTTGTACAGCGCATTTCCACTCAGGGGTTATCTTCTTATAAGATATCTTTAATATCACTCAATCGCTGGCTTAAGCTGTTCCCTCCAGATCCTATCCCTCATCTTAACACAGGGTTTTCCGGCGCGTGCTCCAGGAAGGAAGGTGCTCGGGATGCCCCGTATGTGGGTCCGCCATCCGTCCACCGTCCGCTCGGCACACACACCAACAGTTTTATATCGTCGACTGTCAACCGTCAATCGCGCCCGTCTCTCCGTTCTCAGCTTCTACTGTCGATTTCCTGGCTGTCTAAGTTCATTTACCGTTGGTTTACCGTGAGGGTAGAAAACAGATTCCCTTTTGGACACGCACACATTGTTCCCCAGCCCGTACTGAAACTACACTAATCCGTAATTGGCCAAAGTTGTAATTAATCCTTTTCTAACCATAGATCTCAAAAACGTCCAGAACATGGGATTATGTGTGGTACCGTACATTACACGAAACTGCTTCACACTTCTTCGAAAGCATGCCCTCCAGATCATCGCCATCCTTCTGCAAAACCTGTCCCGAAAAATTGCTCGAACCATCCATACAGCACCGAGACCAAACCCCTCAAAGCTACACTTTATCCGTGTATATGATACAAAGTCAGTCACTCATCTCGTCCTCAAATGCTTAGAGCCTTGTCAAAACCTGTCGTGCAGTCCCTGCTGTTCGGCTGCCCTTGTGACGCGCGACTTTGAAACTGTTGTGACGGCTCTGCGAAGTCTCACACAGCTTCCATTGTCTTAGCCAGCGAAGCGCGCATTACCTTTCTTTCCAGCATCAGACCCTCCCAGTAGACGCGTTACACTGCTAAACACGTCGCCAGCCTTCCTCTGCAGCTCCTGACGAAGATCTCTCAAATTTGGAGAGACCACCTGGACGTGTTACTGTCTCTTGCGCGCTGCAATCACAGTGGTAGTCGTCTCATAAATTTTTCGAGACAACAGGTAGTTGTCCTCTCCGCTCCTCCTGGTAAAGGGGTGTGCGTATGATTTTCAGGCGATGGGGTTCCGCCGCCATTCAAGCAGCCTCACTACCGCCTCATTGCCATTCAACGCGGCCCAGGACAATGCTGTTCGACCAAGAGAGTCCTTTGTGTCCACATCCACCTCCCCAGTCTCCAGTAGCAACTTCACCACCGCTTCGTGTCCATTCTGTGCAGCGAAGGACAATGGTGTCCGGCCGTGAGAGTCCTTTGAGTCCACATCGGCCAACCCGGTCGCAATTAACAGCTTCACCACCGCCTCATGGCCATTCCACGCCGCGTTAGACAATGGGGTGGAACCATCGGAGTCCTTCGCGTCCACATCCACTTTCCCAGTCTCAAGCAACAACTTCACCACCGCCTCACGTCCCTCACTTTCAATCCAAGAGTATCCACCTGCAGCCAAGAACAATGGTGTCCGGCCCTGATTGTCCTTTGTGTCCACATTCACTCTGCCATCCTCAATCAACGCCTTCACGACTGCCTCACATCCATACAGCGCCGCACTGGATAACGGTGTTCGACCCTCAGAGTCCCTTGAGTCCGTGTCCACTCGCCTAGTGTCAAGTAATAGCTTAACTACTTCCTCGTGTCCTCTTAGTGCAGCCCTTGATAACGGTGTCCAACTTTTGTATTTTGAGTCCACATCAACCTGCCCAGACTCAAGCAACATCTTCACTACTGCACTATGCCCTTTCTCTGCAGCAGTGAATAACGGGGTACGGCCCCAGGAGTCCTTCAATCCAATATCTGCATTCCCAATTTCAAGTAACAGCTTTGCCACTGTCTCATGCCCGTTCACTGCAGCCAGAGTCAAAGGTGTGAAACGGTTGCTGCTTATCGCCCTAGTGTCAGCCCCGCCATGAATGCTTCTTTGAGCTGTAGCCAATTTTCCATGTTCTGCGGCCCAAAGCAGAGCGGAACTTCCAAAATTATTCGAATTGTACCGATAGAGATATGAGTTGAGGAGAGAAAAGAGCTGACTGTTTGTTCGAGCCAAACAGTTAATATCTCTTTCTGTCTCCAGGAATGTTGCTATTGACAGCAGTATTTCCGTTGGCAAATGAAGAAGAGACATTTTCACAACATTTCAACAACATCAGAAATCTGGATTGAGATGGCAAATGGGGAATCAGGGATTGGGTTAGTGAGCATTCATAAGCGGTTGAAACTGGCAGAAAGCTCCAGAGTAGACTTTTTATTTTGTCCGATATCGCAACCAAGCGAGAGTTCGGCTATTGACCTGTGGAAAACCAACAGTCCCCCCC